GTGGGTGTGCAGGTGATTCCCTGATTGACTTAATGTCTCATTCCGAAGAAGGCAACAGTGCCAGGCACAGAACACAAAAGGTGATCATGCCACAGAGCCAGAGGGCCGGGTATCCACTCAAAAGGCTCATTTATTCACCTTTGCTTAGCCTTTGCATCTGTGGGAATCCTAGACCTCTGGACACACCTGGCCAGGTAAAGAGTGCAAAACAGCCCAACTGATAAAGGGATTGTCTATCTGTCACTCTCACACAAGAGGGATTCCATGTCTAGGCTGGGAGATCGCTAGAGGGAGGTTTACTGAGGGTAGAGGACTCTCCGTTCCCAGGGTTGGATGTACATAGAAGGGAAGGGGACCAGGGGCCTTCACCATACATTTGAGACACTAGGAATACAGCACACCCCAAAATATAATTCAATAAATTTGTGAAAGGTTTGGGGTTCCCTTGCCAGGTATCTCCTGAGGCTTTCGGGGGCTTCCAAATGGTGGAACTCTGTGCCCTGGGTCTCTCCCCGCATCCCCTTCCTCGCCTCCTGAGCACTCAGAGCCTGGCCAGGCCACGAGAGAAGGTCTCCTGGAAAGGGAGAGGCCTCTTCTCATCCAGAGGAAATCCCAGTCCTGGCCACGGAGTCTCTGGGTTTGGCATTCACTGAGATTTCACACTAACAACTATTGATATTCTGCATTTTGTAGCTGAAGGCTTTCATGGCCGGAATCTCTGTGTTGCTGTGAGTCTTCCGGGCTGCGTGGCCATGTTCCAGAAGCATTCCCGCCCACACCTCTCTATGGCAGGCATCCTCGGAGGGGTGAGGCCTGTGGGAAAGCAGGCAAATGGGGTTAATATAACTGTGGGAAGCCAGGCAGGAAGCAGCCAGGCTTTGGACCTGCAAGGCCATTCAATGGTAACGAAGGTGGTCAATGGAAACAGAGAAGAGTTCTTCTTTCTTCCTCCTGACGGCGAGCGCATCTTGTAGCCCCGCCTTTACATTAGTGTGAACTGCAGCAGGGAGTTCCGCAGTTCCTGGGCCAAGCTTTGAGGCCAGCAGATGGAATGCGCCCCAGCTGCTAGCTCCAAGACCAGGAATGCCTGCAACTCCAGGTAACTTCCCCTCTCCTTTGACTTTGTATCTTTCCCTAATAAAGTGCTTGAAACCTGAAACTTTCCGATGTAATTGATTTCTTCAATTGATCCATGGCAGTTTGACAATTTGGAGTCCAAATTACCTGGTTCGGGTTCTTCTTTTTGGTAAGATCCGAAAGAGGGGCCGCCAAATTACTAAAAGATGGGATAAATTTGCGATAGTATCCAGCCAATCCAAGGAATGCCCTAACCTGTTTTTTCGTTTTGGGCACTGGCCACTGGTGAATAACTGCCACTTTAGTAGGGTCAGGTCGAATATGACCTCCTCCCACTAAATGTCCTAAATACTTAGTAACATTGTATCCTATCTTACACTTAGAAGCCTTAATAGTTAACCCTGCTTCTCTCAACCTGCTTAACACCAGATCCAAATGTTCAAGGTGAGCTTCCCAGGAATCGCTGAAAATCCCTATATCATCGATATAGGCCACGCAAAAAGACCCCAGCCCACTTAAAACACTGTCTACTAATCTCTGAAATGTGGCTGGGCTATTTTTTAGCCCAAAAGGGAGGACAGAAAATTCAAATAACCGACTTTGGGTTCGGAAGGCGGTTTTGTGTCGATCCTGTGGTGCCATGGGCACTTGCCAGAATCCTTTAGTCAGATCTATACTACTAATAAAGTTGGCCTTCCCCATCCTTTCTAGCAGATCGTCTAAACGTGGCATAGGGTAAGTATCTGTCTGGGTTACTTTATTTAACCGCCTATAATCCACGCAAAATCTAATTGTCTTGTCTGGCTTCTGTACCAACACTATGGGTGAAGCCCAAGAGCTAACTGATGGAACAATAATACCTAGGTCCAACATTTCTTTAATCTCCTTTTCAATACACTCATTAATTCTCCCCGTGACCCTGTAGGGTGGAGATACTATGGGAGTTGCATCACCGGTGTTTATTTGATGCTGGACTCCCTGGACCTTTCCTGGCAAATCTGAAAATATGTCTTTATATTTACTCAAAACTTTCACAACCTCTCTTCTCTGTGGTTGGGACAATTCTATGTTCATTTCTACCCGATCCAAATTTTTGTACTGTTCACGATCACCCTCCCAAAAAGAAAAGGGACCGGATTCTTCCTCCGAAACAACAAAACATACATTAGCAGACCTTTCAACATAAGGCTTTAACATGTTTATATGGACTCTTCTTTCTACATTGGAATGTTCATCATAAATATCATAGTTTATTTGGTTGTGTTTTCTGATGATCTTCCAGGGTCCCGACCAATCCAATTGAAGTTTGTTGGTTTTGTTGGGAGATAAAAATAAAACTTCATCTCCGATGTTGAAGATCTTTGGTTTAGCAGTAGAATCATAATAGTCTTTTTGTCTCTGCTGAGCCGCAAGCAAATGTTCTTGTGCAATGTCCCTAGCCAGTTGCATTGTTGATTGAAGATCCTTTAAATACTCCGACACTGGAACTGGATCTGTTGCCGGACTTTCCTCCCAATATTCCTTTATCAGGTCTAATGGACCATGAGCTTTCCTTCCATATAGCAATTCAAATGGACTGTAGCCAGTACTGTCATGAGGGACGGTCCTGTAGGCGAATAACAGTTGTTGCAATTTGACGTCCCAGTCGTATGGCTTCTCTTGACTGTAAGACTTTATCATTTTGACTAAAGTCTTGTTCATATTTTCAACTAGTCCATTTGTCTGTGGATGATAAGCTGTTGAAGTCAGGTGTCTGATACCACATAACTCAAGCAATTTCGACATAAGTCTGGAAGTGAATTGGGTTCCCAAATCTGAAACCAATTCTCTAGGATAACCAGTTCTTCCCCAAATGGATAACAGTGCATTTGCAATCGTTGTTGTCTCGATGTTAGTTAGAGCTACAGCCTCTGGATATCTTGTGGCGTAGTCAATCATGGTTAAAATGTATCGGTAACCACGTCTGCTTGGTTTACAAAGAGGACCCACTATGTCAATGCCCACTCTGTAAAATGGTTCTCCAATTATTGGCATAGGGATCATAGGAGCTTTAATTTTATCCCTTCCAGTACTCAATCTTTGGCAGATGTCACAAGACTGGCAAAACTCTTTGATCTTCTGGAACACGCCAGGCCAATAAAAGTTCTTAGTGATTCTCTTTGTGGTTTTCCTCACACCCAAATGTCCACCTTGAGGGTTTTCGTGTGCCACCCTCATCAGCTGTTCTCTAAAACTTTGAGGCACTACAATTTGACTACTTGTCACTGATTCTTCTGTTGACTCCACATTCCTGGTTTTTCTATATAAAACACCATTCTTTAACACAAACTCGGAGGGCTGTTCTTTTGCCAATATTGTGGGGTTTTGAGCCAAAGCGAATAGAGGTTTAAGAGATTCATCGGCTCCTTGTTCCTGCCGAATTTCTTCAATTCCTCCCGTCTTCTTAACAAGCTCAGCAACCGTAGCGCTGGATTCCGGACTCTCCTCCCCATCCTGTTGTATGGCAAAACACATGGCTTTTTGATCATGGCTTTCGTTGTTATATTCTTCCTCTTCACACGTCATCCTCCAGCTTTCAATCTTCTTAGCCAAATCATTTCCAATTAAACATCTGTATGGTATGTCAGGACTGACTGCAAAATCCCACATACCCTTCCATCCTCCATATTCTATTGGCAAAGTCACTACTGCTGTTGGTATCGCAGGTCCTAAACCTTTTAATCTTATTTCAGAGGTAGGCCGCTGAAATTCCTGAGGTATTATTTCTGGATGCACTATACATACTTCAGAGCCTGTATCTCGAAGTCCTTTCATGTCTTTGTTGTTAATAGAAATGGTTTCTAAGTAATCTTTAGATGGGCTGCCTGACAAGATGAACAAACATTGTTTCTCTTGAGGCTCTGAATCTGAACTCTTCTTTGACACAGTATCTGGTTCTAGCCAGAGTGAACCAGAGGATTCTGGGATCGTTGGTTCCCAAGGCAAAGATGCTTCGATGCTAACAGAAAAAGGGGCCGAGGAAAAGGTTGAACGGCCAAGGCCAGATAGTGATAGTGAAAGGAATGTACTAATTGGCAAGCTGAGGGACGACCAGACACTCTTAATAATAATAACAACAACAACAACAACACTTTATTAGTACCCTGATACCATCTCCCCAAGGGACTCGGTGCGGCTTACATGAGGCCAAGCCCAAACACAACAATGCAGGCAATAATACAACAATACAAGCAATTAAAATAAAACATAAACGATAAACATATAACATTATCAATAAGACAACATACAATTAAAAATTGTGGGAAGGCCAAATGTAAAAATTAAAATTGGAAAAGTGCTGAGGCATGGACGAAAAGGCGATAGTGGCGTTTGTGGAAGACATACGAGCAGACCTAAAAGTATAAAGTGCTTTGGAGGGACAAAGTGCTATGGGATCATTATTCCGGGAAGGCACACTCGCACAACCACATCTTCAAGCTCCTCCTGAAGACCCCAGGGTTGAGGCCTGCCTGATGTCCTTAGGGAGTGAGTTCCAGAGTTGAGGGGCCACTACCGAAAAGGCCCTCTCTCTCATCCCCACCAATCGTGCCTGCGATGCTGGTGGGATCGAGAGCAGGGCCTCTCCAGATGAACGAAGAGATCGTGTGGGTTCGTATACAGAGATGCGGTCACACAGGTAGGCGGGTCCCAAACCGTTCAGGGCTTTGTAGGTAAGAACCTGCACCTTGAATTGGGTCTGGTAGATGAATGGCAGTCAGTGGAGCTCCTTGAACAGGAGGGATGACCTCTCCCTGTAAGGAGCACAAGTTAACAACCTGGCTGCCGCTCATCTAAAATTTCTGGGCCGTTTTCAAGGGCAGCCCCACGTAGAGTGCATTGCAGTAGTCCAGTCTTTGATAGGAGAAGTCAAATCAATCATCATCATACCTGGAAGGGGGCAGAAGACGGTCTGAAAGATTAAGAGAATCAGGGGGTCAGGGAGAGGTTTCCCAAGGGAAAGGGAATGCTTTTGCCATGGCTTTCTGAATAAATATAGGGCCTGTGAGTCTATACTCTTCAGTAAGTCCAACATTTGGTTTTCATGCCTGCTTCATGCTTGCTTGTTCATGCGGGGAATCATGTATAATCTTGCTTTGTATTCATGCACATGCTGAGATTTTTGTAAGCTGGTGTTTGTGATTTCAAGCTACTGCATTTAGATTATTTGATTCAAGTTGGCTCCTGTTTCTTCAAGGGACTTTTGCATTTGCCACCTTTGGAAAAGAAAGACTTTCTTCCTATGGATTTGCTTCTTGGATTTTGGGACTGATTTGTCTCCTAACTTGGATTTGGGTTATTTGCTGATTTTGTGGACATCACCTTTTCTCTATTTGAATGCTTTTTACCTTTTTGACTATTGCTATAT